CGCATCGTCGACGACAAGACAAGCCATGTTGGGAGGAAAAACGAGCATTTTGCATTGATGTCTCAGTCTGGATGGGAGAGCCCGGATGCAAACGCCATCGGCCGGACAGAGGGGAGAGTAGGAGTATATGCAAATAAGGAGTAAGGATGAGGAGGATGTGGAACGATATTGCCATGCATCTTCCCGTCCCATGTCCCCCTTTGTATACGAAAGTCCTTGCAGATTTTCTTTGTTCACAAATGGACGCGCACATTTGAAAGACAGGCGCCCTGCGGGCTTCGTAGCAGACCCGGCGCGCCCAGGACAACGCCCGGGGCACCGAACGCACCCGGCGCCGAGCGAACCCGATGCACGTGGCGCACACTCCGCACTGAGCGCACCCGGCGCCGAGTGCACCCGGCGCACCCGGTACGCCCGGCCGCCCGGCACCCACCGTCGAGTGCACCCAGGACACTTGCAGCGCACCCGGCACCGAGCGCACCCCGCGCACCCGGTGCACCTGGCGCACCCGGCGCACCCGGCGGCCGGGCACCCGGCGCAGAGTGCACCCAGGACACCCGGCGCACCCGGCGCCGAACGCAGCCGGCACACCCAGCACACCCAGCGGCCAGGCACCCGGCGCCGAGTGCACCCGGGACACCCGGCGCACCTGGCGCCGAGCGCACCCGGCACACCCAGCACACCCGGCGCACCCGGCACCCCGCACAGGCAAGTGTTATGCGACGTGGACGGGGTGGCAGCACGCTAATCCTGCCAGTGGGGCCTTCGCTGGAGCTCGCCAGGGGCCACGAACCGTGTGAAGGGTGTACCGACATGGCCGGGGGGCACCATGTGAACCTTGCCAGTGGCGCCTTCAGTGGAGCTCTTTGTGGAGCCACGAAACTCGTGAAGGGTTTGCCGAAATCGTCGGGGCGACGGCGTGTGAACCCTGCCACTGGCGGCCTTCGGTGGACCTCCCTGGGGGACACGAAACGTGCGAGGGGTGCGCCGGAATGGTCGAGGCGGCGGCGTGTGAACCCTGCCAGTGGAGCTTTCGGTGGAGGTCCGTAGAGGGCCACCAATCGTGTGCGGGGTGCGCCGACATGGTCGGGGAAACGGCATGTGACCCCTGCCATTGGGGTCTTCGTTGGAGCTACCTAAGGGCCATGAAACGTGGTGGGCGTACCATCATGGTCGGGGGGCGGCATCTGACCCCTGCCAGTTGAGCTTTCGTTGGATTTCTCGAGGGGTCACGAAACGTGTGAGGAGTGCGCCGACATGGTCGGGGGGCGGTATGTGAACCGTGCAAGTGGGGCCTTCGGTGGAGCTCCGCAGGCTGCCACGAAACGCGTGGGAGGATGTGCCGAAAGTGTCGAGCGGCGGCAATTCCACCCTGCCATTGGGGTCTTCGGTGGAGCGCATCTAGGGGCCACGAAACGTGTGCGGGGTGTGCCGAAATGGTCGGGGGGGTACACGAATCCTGTCAGTGGGGCATCTGGTGAAGCTGCCCAAAGGCTACGAAACGTGTGAGGGGTGCGCCGACATGGTCGGGGCGGCGGCATGTGAACCCTGCCAGTGGAGCTTTCGGTGGATTTCCTCAGGGGCCATGAAACGTGTGAGCGGTGTGCCGAAATCGTCCGGGGGGCGGTATGCGAACCGTGCAATTGGGGCTTTCGGTGGAGCTCCCTAGGCTTGGGGGCCACGCAACGTGTGAGGAGAGTGCCAGCATGGTCGGGGGGCGGTATGCGAACCGTGCCTTCGGTGGAGCTCCCTAGGGGGCCACGAAAAGGGTGAGGGGAGTGCCGAAATGGTCGGGCAGCGGAATGTGAACCCTGCCATTGGGGTCTGCGGTGGAGCGCCTCTAGGGGCCACGAAACGTGTGCGGGGTGTGCCGAAATGGTCAGGGGGGTAGTATGCGAACCCTGTCAGTGGGGCATCTGGTGAAGCTCGCCAAGGGCCACGAAACGCGTGAGGGGTGTGCCGACATGGTCGGGGCTCCGGCATGTGAACCCTGCAAGTGGGGTTTTCGGTGGATTTCCATAGGGGCCGCGAAACGTGTGAGGGGTGTGCCGAAATGGTCCGGGGGGCGGTATGCGAACTGTGCTAGTGGGGCCTTCGGTGGAGCTCCCTAGGGGACCTCGAAATGTGTGAGGGGTGCGCCGACATTGGACACGAGGCGACGTGCGGACGAGACGTGTGCGGAGTGTGGCGAGAAGGTGATGAGGATGAGAATGGTGGTAATGATGACGATGACGATGACAACGGCGACGACGATGCCGACCATGCTGATGGTGATGATGACGAGAAGGATGGTGCTGACGACAGACGAGGAGGAAGAGAAACACGAAAAGGAAGGAAGAGGAAGACTGGGAGGAGGAGGAGGATCAGGAAGAGACGCGCGGCGCTGCGAATTCAAAGCGAGGATCCATCACGCAGGAGGATTGGGAAACAAACACAGAGTCCACAGAGAATGTGGTTTCTCTTCGGGCGTTCCCCTTCGCGGACGGGCTTCACTGGGATCGTTGTTTTTTGTTTGTTGGGTTTCCCCTCATGATTTTCTTAAAGTGTTTGCGTGCAGCACTTCAGTTTCTTTGTTTTTGCTTCCTACCGCCAACGTACGCAATGTATGTGTACTTCGCCCAGACGACGGCGGCGACGGCGACGGCGACGGCGACGACGAGAACGAGCGGAGCGCTTTCGGCCCGTCCCCCGGCCCGTATATATATATATATATATATATATATATATATATATATATATATATATATATATCCCCGTGCACGACGCCCGGGCGCCCAGGGCGGCTGCCCCGAGGGGCATGGGAGTACCGGGGCTAATTTTCCATGTGTTTTTACAGGGTTTCCACGTCCTGGGCCTTGGCCGCCGCCTCCGACCCCCCGTGGGAGGACGGGGCGGCTGGGGAGGTCCAAAATAGTCCAGGAGGGCCTCCAGAGGCTCCCAAGACGGCCCAAGCGGGCCCCGAGTCGCCGAAAGACCGCTCCAGGACGCCCAAGATAGGCCCAAGACGGCCCGAGAGGCCCCCCAAGGCACTCCACGACGCTTCAAGACGCCTCTCCAGAGCGCTTCAAGAGGCCGAAATCGTCAATTTTACAAAGGTTTTCGAACGATTTTGGCCTTCCAGCCTTTTCGGCTGTCCGACGTTCCAAGACGGCTCAATAGGCCCCCAAGAGCGCCCAAGACGCCCAAGAGGGCCCCAAGACGGCCCCAGAGTCGCCCAAGACAGCCCAACAGAGCCCCAAGACGGCCCCAAAATGCGCCCAAGAGGGGGACCACGACTCCAAAATTCGACCCTCCCGCTTGAAGAGTGCCCCAGGAGGCCCCAAGGAGCCCCCAAGAGGCCCCAGGAGGCCCCCAAGAGGCACCCAGGAGGCCCAAACGAGGCCTAAAGAGGCAACAAAACAGCCCCGAGGAGGCCCCACAACGGTCCCAAAACGGCTACCGAGAAGCTGCGAAATTGCCTTCACGACGTCCCCGACAGGCCAACCACGAGATCCAAACCAACACCCATGAGGCCTCTGACCCACCACCCAGGGCACTGTGGCGGGAGCAGTGACAGCACTTGTGCACAGCATATTCCGGCGGGAGCCTTCCGGAACACGCTGTAGGAGGAGGAGGAGGAGGAGGAAGATCAGGAGGAGAGAGAGCTGGAGTGGGAGGAGGAGGAGGATGGGGACGAGGAGGAGGAGGAAGAGGCCTCCAAGACAGCTTCAAGATAGCCGAAGAGGCTTCCAAGAGGGCCCTGGGCGGCCCACGAGGGCCCCAAGGCGGTGCCTGAGGCGCCCAAGAAGGCCCGAGAGGGCCCCAAGACGGCCCCAAGAGAGGCCCAAGAAGGGAAACACGAACTGAGAATCCGAGCTTTCTACCCCGAGAGGTTCTCGGGAAGTCCCAAGAGGCCCCCAATCGGATCCAAGAGGCCCCCAAGAAGCTCCCAAGAGGGCCGACGACGTTCCAAGAGATCTCCCAAGGTGGCCACAAGAGGCACAACTCATTGTTTTACGATTGGGCTTTGACGGTTTTTTTTTCTGCCTTTTGGCATCCCGATGTTCCAAGACGGCCCAAGAGGCTTCCAATACCGCTCCAATATAGAGGAAGAGGCCTCCAAGAGGGCCCCAAGACGGCCCGCGAGGGCCCCAAGACGGTGCTTGAGGCGCCCAAGACGGCCCGAGAGGGCCCCAAGAGCCCAAAGAGAGGCCCAAGAAGGGGAACGCGACCCAACAGCAGAGCGTTCCCCCCAAAAGGCCCACAGGAGGCCGCAAAAGGACCCCAAAAGCTTCCCGAGGGCCCAAAAGGCTCCTAGGAGACGTCGAAGAGGTTTTAAAATAGCCCAAGAGTGCCCTCGATGAGTCAAAACTGCTTCCAGGAGGCCCCCGGGAGGCTTCTGGATTGCTTCAATCTGGCCGCAGGTGGCCTCAAGTCGGGCCTCCACGCAGCCAAGACGGCCAATGACGGCTTCAGATTGCAGAACCGATGCCCCCAAGGGACCCTCAGACGCCCCCCCAAGAGGCACCCACGAGGTGCTTCCAACAGCCAGTTGACGAAGCATGCGGAACACCCCAGAAGCTCCTCAGATGCCGTCGCGCGCCTGTGCTTGATAGCGTTGTCCAAGATCGTCCAGCGCCCCCCTGGCCTGGGCTGGAACCTGAGCGTGCGCGAAGCGCGCGCGATGGTTCCATTGTATGTGTATATGTATATATATATATATATATATATATATATATATATATAATATATATATATATATATATCGTATGTGGGTGAACGTAAGTAAGTACATAATATAGTATCATATAACAAAAGTATATGAATGTACACATCCGTGTAGCCATAAACTTTCGGAGGTCCGCGCGGAGTTCCTGGATCGGCCCCAGACTTCCCCGGCAGCGCCTCCAGCACCCCCCCTGGCACGCGGAACGCGCCAGGGAGTGGGGTCCAGCACCGATCCAAGGAATCCGCGCGGACCTCCGAAATTGAAGGTTCATGCCGTTGCTTTTTCCTCGAAGGAGTCAAAGAAGCGGCGGCACGAATTGAAACACGAGCTCGAAGAGCTCGGTCGACAGGCGGCGACGTGTGGACAGGCCGATATGGGCCGCATCGGCGCTTTGCGGGTGGAGCTCGTGAACTTAGAGGAGTTCCTCGTCCGAGTGGGCGGCGCCCAGGCCCTGAAGGAGGACGAGCAGCCGCAGCAGCCTGCCTGCGTGCGAGAGGACCCAGGGCTCGTTTCGATTCCTCCGATTCGAGTCGATTCGATTTCGATGGCTTCCGATTTCGATTCGATTCGACTTGGGATTCCGATTTGGGTTCCGATTCTTTATTGGAGGCTAGCTAGCCTGCCGATTTCTGCCGATTCGACTTTTCTCGACTCAGCCGCCGATTTCCGCCGATCCGATTCATTTCGATCACCGATCCGATTTATCGATTCGATTCTTGGCTCCCCTGGAGGACCTGGAGTCCAGCAACCTCTGGGTCGGGAACCTGTCGGCGCACTGGACGGAGGAGCTGATATCCGGCTGCCTGTGGCACCCCCCGCCGCCCTGCCGGCGCGGCAGCGCAGCGGTCCAGGAGGTTGGGTCTAACACGCGTGCCCGTTCAGTGCCTCGTCTGAATTGGCGAGGGTACACATAACTCTTCCTCCTAAGCTAAGCCGCATCATCAACGACGGCACGGACGACGGAAGAAAAGGTGGACAGACGCCGAGTGGTTTTTCGCGTAAGGCGCCGAGGCGCCGCCGCGACGCCCGACAGCGGGCCGGGTCTTTGCCCAAGGGCGCGCTCGTTCATTCGTTTCTTCTTTTTCTCCTCCTCCTCCTCCTCCTCTTCCTCCTCCTTCTCCTCCTCCTCCTCCTCTTCCTCCTCCTTTTCCTCCTCCTCCTCCTGTTCCGCCTTTTTCTTTCTGCCACGTTGGACGTGTACCAGGCAGGGGTTTACTGAGCTGTTTTGGCTCAGGCGTTTTGCCTGCGTTTGCAACAGCATGTCTTCAAAACGGCGCATTGCTATTGTGGGTTTTTGTGGTTTCATTCAGGTTGAGGAATTCCATCCTTCCATTTCCATCAGATTTGCTCCCATGTGAGTCTTCGTGTCCACCACGCCCGCTCTGGGCTCATGGCGGGCAGCGGCGGCGGCGCGTTTCATGGAAGCCCTTGGCATAGCAGCTGGGGCAGCGGGCAGGGCGGCAAGGGGTAGGTTCCTGCTTCTACGCCTTGGTGGCGAGAAGTGTGGCCTGCCCACGCACGTGGTTCACACGGTCTGCACGATGGGGCTGCTCATCGCGGTGGCGCTGGCAGTGGTAAGCTGGTTTGTGAGCAGCGCGGTTGCCGCCGCAATCAGCCCAATGTCTCCTTCTGTAAACATTATGGGGCTTTGCGGGACCAGCTATCATCAACCCAGTCGTCGTGGGCGCTCGCGGCCTCGCAGTTGTTCTATCCTAATCGGGACTGTGCAGCACGAGTTCCCCTGCGCTCGTGGAGGTGCTCCAGCTCAAGACAAAAGGAAGTCCATCGCTGGGTTCGCTGTCGTCGAACTCGAGTCCTTTTTGGCCCTGCGCGACAAAGTCGGTGATGCCTATGAGGCTGGGCGCTGCCGCGCGCAGCTAGCTGCATTGCGGCAGCCGTTCGCCGCGCCCGCGGCGCTCGGGTGGCTGCTCGCGAAGTGCCAACGGGACAGGGTCAAGCACGGCCATTTGGATGGAGAACGCGCTGCGCCGGGTGGCCACGCTTGAGGAGCAGCTCCAAAGTGCAGCGCCAGCTCCTCGCAAACATGGCAACGAAGCTCGAGCAGCTGGACAAGTCGTGCGAGCAGTTGGCACATAAAATGGCACCGCAGTCTCAGACAGGTGCGCAGACCAAGGGTGGCGCGGAGGCTTCCTCACCTTCGATTTCGCTTGGGGCGTGCTGGATGGGAAGATCGATTCATTGAGTATTGGGTTTCCTTTTTTGCACGGAAGGGCTAGAGACGGCCCTCGCTGCCAAGCATGCGCAACGCAGTCGGCGCAGGCCGCTCGCGTCGCAGCCAAGAAAAGGAAGGGCAAGGGGGGGGGGGGGGGCAAGAATGCTGCCGCCGTCGACCGTGGCAAGGCCAGCCGGGAGTGCGCCCGCGCGGGCTCCGCGGCTTTTCAGGGCAGCGCTGGAGGCGCCGCCGCCGCGGGCCCCGGCGATCCACCTTCTCGTGGCGCCAGCGTCGCAGAGCGCATTTCGTTTGGACAACTGTAAGATCGGCTTAGATTGTCCGGGGGAATTTCTTCCCGCGCTGATTTTCCTTGGCCAGGAATGAAGGCCACGGAGAATCCGCGTGCAATTATTTCCTTCGCTCGAGGTTTCAGGGTTCTGCGTTTTTACACTGCAGCCGCTGCCCCAAGTTCCCGTCGGCTGACGGGGGGCGAGCGCGCGGCGCGGTTCCGACCCGAACGGAGAAGCGGCTGCTTGAAATCTTGGGCGCGAGGAGCGCGGTCGCTTGTTTTCCCGGCCCAGGGCGAGCTGCTGGCCGCGCCCCATCGGCCGGGGGCCAGGGTCACATTCCAGCCATCATGTCTGCCCCCCCCCCCCCCCCGGCTGAAGGAGGGCAACCGCCGCCGCTCAAAGGCCGCGGGTGCCAGCCCTGCGCGGCAGGATTCGAGGCGAAGCGCACATGGCCGGGGTGCGTCATTTTTTTTCGTCGGCTAATTTCTGGCGCCGAAACCCAGCTTCCCGCGCGGCCCCCTCGGCCTGGCGCGGGGCGCGCATCTCTCGGGGCCGGCGCTCGAGGCCGCCCCGGGGGCCCCGTCGCGCCCCCCCCCTCCCCGGGGCGCCGCCCCCTCAGAGGTTGAGGCCCTCGGCGGGAGCGGGCAGTCTTCGGCTGAAGAGCGGCTGCCGCGGCGCATTACCCGCGCGGCCTTTCCCCGGGTGCGCGATCTCTTGATGTGGGCCCCCATCAGTAGAGCCCGCCACTGGCGTTCGAAGAATGGGCGGGGGCCCTTTCGACCCCTGGGCCAATGGGCAGGGCGGGGTGGCTTCTCCAGCAGAGTTCCCATTTTGGCCGGGTTCTGGATGGGGCCGCTTGCCCCGCCAGGTGGGGTTCGCGCGCGGCCCCGCGGGGCCACTGCTGACGTCGTTCGTCCTCCCCGGCCAGGGTCAGCCCATCCTCTCCTTAAATGTTCCACCGCGAAGTTTCCGCGGGGCCCAGCGACATTGCGCCGGATGTCTGGCGCGCTTCGGGGGCGACTCTCGGCGCGCGGCCGGCCGTTGATCGCTTGCGGGGATTGCGACCCTGGGCCCTGCGCCCTGCGCGACTGCGAATTCGCGCGCCACCTTTGGGCGCAGCCAGCGGCGACCGAGTTCGACCTGCTCTGGGAAAGGAGACCCTTCGCGCGGGTCGTTCTGGGGTGCTTCGCCTGAGCCGCGAGCTCAGTTGCCGCTGATGTTGTTTCGGCCAACTTCCGCCCAGCATCGCGCTCGCGCTCGCGCGCCCCCCCCCCCCGCCGCCGCGGGCCCCCCGATCGGCCCTGGCCAAGGGCCACCAAGGCGCGATCGGCGCAACTTGGCTAGGGAAGGCCCTTGCCAGGGCCCGCAGAGGGTAGCCCGATGTCCCGGGCGACCTCTCGAGCGCGGCCGAGAACCGGTGGGCCGGCGCCTCGCGGGAAGAGCAGCATGATGTTTCTTTTTACGGCGCCAGAGGGAAAGGGGCGCCCTTCTGGCGGCTGCTCGTTCTGGGGCGAGACCGAGGTGCCCCGCGGCGCCCAGCGCTGCGCGGCGCGCGCTGGCTGCGATCCTATTTGCAGGCCCTCGCGCGTTACGCTGAGGCCTCTCGTCTGTCAGGAGATGCGCCAGCCGCTGTTCCGCGCCGCGCGCTCGGTCGGCGGGCCGCCCAGGGCCGTCGCGGCCAATCGAGGCGGCCGCGCGGACCCTTTCCAGCAGGTCGCCTTCTTTGTCGACGCATGGTCGGGCCCCCGTCTACTGAGGTCCATCAGCTGGCCGAAATGGCGGAGATGGAAGAGCTCGCCGCGCGTTCAGGAACCCATGCCGGACAAGCCGGGGAGGCTGGTCTGCCCGAGGTGCTCGGAGGGCGTCGACCGAGGTGCTCGGAGGGCTCATCGGATTTCCAACGACCCCTCTGCGTGGCGCCCGACGAACGTGTTCAGTAGGTTTGGTAGCTTGACTTCGGAGTACCATGAACTCCCCACCCACGGCGGAGCGCGACGAGCTCGGGCCTCCCTGGATGGCCCAAGAGGCCCTTTCCAGGGCTCGCAGTCTCAGGCCCCAGTGTTTGCCTCTCATTAGGGCTGGGGAGATTCGGTTGATTACCGTGGCTTTCTCATGCTTTCTCGCGCAGGTCGGCGGCTGGTTGGCTTAGATGGCTGCCGCGTGGGGCACTGCCGGCGCCTCTCTGAAGCGTCGCTGGAGCGCCTCGCCGCGGCGAGTCAAGTTGCGGAGTCGGCCAGTCTTCTCCTTGAGCAGATTCGCGCGTTCATTGCCCCGCTCATTCCCAAAACAATGCCATGATTCAGATCTATCGGAGTTTCCACAAGCACCAGCCGCATTGGGCCAGGGTTGGTTCGTCGGCCCATCGCTTCTGCCTGGGGAGACGTTAGCGACGGGCCCTACTAGACCGCTGGTACGTTCAGGTGTGGAACTGACACTGCCTGTAGACAGTCGGCGAAAGCGGAGGGCAGCACGTCTTCCGGCCGTCGCTCGGGAGCGCTCTTTTGGGACATGCTTGAGCATTGTGGGCAGATCCCTCCGGTGCTGCTGGAGCAGCGGGGGATCGGGCTAAGTTCGATCCCGCGGCGCTCAGCGCGTGCTTGTGCGCGGGCCGATCGGCCAGATTTGCGACGCCGCGCAGGGTGGTCGCCCTCCCTTGAGCGCTCTACTCTGAGCGGGGGCCGGCTGTTCGATGGCCGCGATCATCGTCCGAGTTTTCGGGGTCGAGGCGCGCGATCGGGCCCGCCTGGCGCCCAGCGCGTCTCTCGACATTTAAATCGGCGACGCGGGCCTCGGCGCAGAGGGCTCGGTCGGTCATATTTTCAAGCATGGGCACCTCCGACGAGGCGCTGCGCGCGGC